AGTGTACACAACTCAAAAGGAAAGTAATGAGCTCATACCTACATTTGATCAACATCATCCCTAATGCAAGTAAAATAACTTTTATCCACCAACATTCAAACAGTGTATTTCAAGTAAGCATGTAGCCTCATGGTAAGATGCTAAGCTGTAGACACCCTATTTTGACCGTCCTTAAAACTAGGGTGCCTTACGCTAAATACTCAATGATGAAATGTTACGCTATGCAATCGTTCAATTTCTTCAGCAAAAGGCTTTGTTTTCAAGCTTTAAAACCTAAACCTTGCACCCATTTTGAACCAAAACCTTATTGTTTCTAGCCTAACCACTCAGAGAAGAGTTGGCCAACAAGTGGCCAATAGGCCATTTTTGATTGGCCGACTGTTCCCCTTCATGGCCGGCCGACCATGTTTAGGGCAGGTAGATATTTTGCAACAGCCAGTTGTCCTTATGTGCATGCCTTGCACCAATTGTCTCTTTACAGATATTTTCGATGTGAGAACCTGTTTTTCTATAAATACAAGCCCCCTTTTCATGGTTCGGGGTTAGAAAATTTTGGCCAAAAGCAATAACTTGTCCAATACGCTTTTCTTCTCTCTTGCAATATACATACACTATACATACACCTTTTAAGCTTAAACTTGAAACTTTTGCTGAGATTTGTGAAGATAATTTCAAACCATTGAGAGTGTTTAGCTTATGGTTTGTCAACTAAGAAAAGCATCATCTCTTTAAAGGGGTAATTTTTGAGCTTTTGTACCATCTTTTCTCTCTCTTTTTCTTGTGTTTTTATACTGATTTCAGAGCTTTTTTAAGCTTAAAAATGTGATTGAAAAGTCACAAAAAGAGGAGGGATTAGCCACCCTTCCTTAGGCTTTGTTCCATAGCTTGTGACTTTGCCTTTTTCTACTTTGTTTCTTGTGGTTTTAACCACTGTTTTTTTTTGAGTTTAGGGGTTGTTTTAAGTGTTTATTTAATTTATGATTTGAATATTACACTTGTGTTGTTGTAAGTCCTCATGGATTTGGTGTATAGGCCATAGCTTCCAATCCATTTGAGTTGATAGTCTTTTTTTTTTTCATTTTTTTATAGCTTTCATGTACATATTCACATCATTGTAACCATCCACTTGTTCATTCATAATCTGCAACCTTCCACATTTCTTTATTTTTTTGATTAAGAGTTGTATCAAACAATAGATCACCATTCAAGGCATAAGAAAGAGATCCCTCATGCTAAATGGTTTAATCTCTTCAGAGGTTCATTACCAGGGCATTACATCTCTCTTATGCTAAGTATGATCTTTTGTTTGAAACTTCCCTTTATCACCGGTGCATTTACTTCTAAGGGACTAATTTTCTGGTTATACCCTTGGAAATCATAAAGGAAAGAGTCATTATAGCTTATTATCGAGTTTGGATTTGGGGTCATTATTGCTCATTTCGAGTTTGATTCTCAATTCATTATCGTTTGTAAATAAGTTTGATTCTTCCTTTATAATGTTTCCCGTAGAAAAGGGCTTGAAAAGCTTATTTCTTAGGTCAAGTCATGCTTGCTACTCTTTATTGCTCTTGGACTTAGTAGACGTAATCATCACCTATGGACCAAAAAAAAAAAGAAAAGATAAGAAAATAGAAAGGTAAAGTAAAAAGGGCTAATAAAAATTAGAGTAAAAGAGGTAAAAAGATAATAAATTTTGGTTAGGTTCAGTCAGACGTTATACTGAACCTATTGCGTCTTGAATCGTCACATACTATGTAAGTAATGTTTGATGATTCATGAAACAAGTCTACCTCCTCCCTTGAGATAACTCCATGATAGGGAGGAGATGTTTATCTTTTGTTCCATTTTATTGAGCTCTTATCCTATCATTTCTAAGATCATCACACAACAAATTTGCGATAATTGATGATTTCAGAATCAAATCTACTCCTTCCTTGATTATCTTCATGATAGGGAAGGGCAGAAAGGATAAACATCTCCTGGAAACACTTTGTTTTTGCTTTGTTTCAGCTCTGTTGTAGTGGGGTATTTCCCAGAAATAGTGGCTGGCTAGCAACATTTTGTAAGATCGACCACTTCTTAAGGCCAGCCGACCACCTATTTTGTACAGGCAGTGGCATTTTTGCAGCAGAACATGGTAGAATTTGAGGCCAAAATAGAATAATTTTTTGACTGCAAATAGAGCAAATTCTGACAGTAAACAGAGAGGTTTCTGGGGGATATTCTCGGTTGTACACATGCAGTTCTTCGCTTCCCTGTTCGAGTCCATTAGATCAGTCGTTTTAATATTCATATTCGTGTTATAACTAATTAATTGTTTTGGTTTCATTTGAATTTGTAATAGCTAGTTAATTCATTCAATTGTATTGTAATAATTAGTTTAATTAGGACATTCATTCAGACCCTCTTGTGCAGGGCTAATTTGTAATATTTTGTATGTCTTTCAACTCCCATTTCTTTCTTTATTTTATTTATATGCTTGCGGTAGTAGTATCATGTTTTAGTTTCATATCGTTGCCATGCGTTATATCCATTTTTGTATGCATTGGGTTCAGTTCATCATTTTAATATTATTATCATTTCCTACTTACTTGAATACGTGCATTACCACATGCTTTGAGTTGATCCACCTGACATGATAAATAAGTCAAACCTAGTAGTTGCATTTTGTATGTGTTGCATTTAGTCACTTTGCATATTAGGAGCATGCATTTTTTTCTAATTATTTTCTTTTCGTTGGCTTGCCTCAGTTGAGTACTAGGTGAGCATTTTTGCTCTAGCATATTGCATGTTTGTTCGTGTTTCCATATCAAACATATTACCATGAGGCTAAGTGCTTATTTTAAATAACTGTTTGAATGCTTGTGAATGAAAGTTATTTCGACGACTTTGATAAATGTACATGCGAGCTTGCTTTTTAAGTAACACGTATTCAAAACTCTTTTCAAACAAAAATAAAATCAAAGCATTCCAAAATGGGTGACATAGTCTATACTTATGTGCCTCACATAGTAAGTTAGCATTATTAATCAGAACAAGAGCATATACTGTACATAAAAATCATATCATGATTAGTAGAGGCCGATCTTAGATCGGGTGAGTGGGGTGCTCAATTCATGACCTTTCCATCTTATACCTAAGTTCCCGAGCCAAGACACTTTGGTTATGACGGACAAGTGGCCTTTAGCATGAGTCACGGGTTTCCTAAATTTTTCAAAAATATTTAGGTGGCGACTCTGAAATCTGGCAATGCAGTCCATTTCTGGCATCTCTGCATCTCTGATGATAAATGAATTTTCTAAAAATTTGTCAAATTTAGACTCTCATTTGTGTTTTTCTATTTCACATTGCCCTTGTGAAACTAGATTCAGAACCACGGGAGTCCGAACTGTAAGGCTATCGTATCCAAGGAGACTAAATCCCTTCGAGGAGAATGAAAAACTAGTTACATAAGCATGGCAACAATCACTTACATTAATATGCTAAAGCCAAAAAATACTCACCTAGTACTCCGAGGTAAACCAAAGAAAAAAGAAAGCAATTAGAAAAATGCATGAACCTAACAATGTACATGTCTAATGCAGCACATATAAAATGTAACTATTAGGTTCAGTTTATTAATGTTGGACCTGTTAATGTTGGAAACTATCATTTTGTCTTTGAGGTAAATCTTTATGATGCCCTATACGAGTCCTTGTATTAAATGTATTCTATCACATTTTATTGTATTGTTTTGGTAAACCCATAAAAGGTCCTACCTTAAATTTGGATATATATATATATATATATATTTCTATTGGCTTTGATATTAAACCAATGCCGATGCATTTGCTTGGTGGACTACTTGCAGGCAGACCCTCCAGACCCATCAAAAATCCGTGAAGAGGATATTATTGGCGTCACAGTATTGCTATTGACATGTTCTTATATGGGCCAGGAATTTGTTCGAGTAGGATACTATGTTAACAATGATTATAATGATGAACAATAAGGGAAGAGCTTCCCCAAAAGGTGTTGGTGGATAGGGTTCAAACGAATATTTTGGCTGACAAACCTAGAGTTACAAAGTTCCCCATTAATTTTCAACCCGAGAACAACGAGCATGTTGTACGGCCCCCTCCTTCACCTGACCACGCTACTAGAATGAATGAGAACGGTGAAGAGCCATCTACCTTATCCAATCATCCTTCCGATGTGCAGTATCTGTAAATCTCAAGGTTAAAGTCATTGCACAAACACCTAAATAACATCTTTTAATGAAATTTTGGCATGGTGATGTTTTGGGCGAATCTTTTGGATGGGTTTTAGAAATCATCAACGAAAATGTTGTGGTTAATATCAATTATGAGGTGTTCATTGAAATGTGTTGTACCATGTACTTGAGTCACCAAGATGTCCTGCTACACATGTTCGTGTGCCTCAATCCTCTAATTTTATTTAGAGGGCTTTGACTGGTTTCAATTCTATAACTTACATTTGGTTATTAGATTGTTGAGGACAAAATATGATTTCTAAGACCCAGCAGAGACGCTGGGGAGCCTCTGTCGAGGCTATTTCTGCCTCTCCTATGCTGTCTTTTCAATGAGTTCCAAAAACACTTCTATAGTGTAGATTTAGTTTTTTTATGCGTAGAAAGGAGGGTTTGAGAGTTTTCTCTATTTTTTTTATTTTTTTTTATAGATTTTTTGAATTTTCAACATCCATAATGGTTCTCCTTTTGCTTACTCATCCATTACTATTGCGGACATTTTTCTTTTTCAACTCTGGCTTCTGCCGATGATTGAAGTTCAAGAAGGCTGTGGTGGCAACAATGTAGTTGGGTAGAGGCGGTAGGGACAATGGCTATGACTTCGGTGGGTTTGGGTTTTATTTTGGTTCAAATTTTGTTTTTCCAAATCACATATGTGAGAGAATTGGTGATTTTTCTAGAATTGTAACTAATTTTTTGACACCTTTTGTTGTTTGTAGTTTGTGTAGAATTTTTTTTTGGCCTTTTGCGATCTTATTTTTATTTATTTATTTTTTTCCTTCTTGTTTTGTATGATGTTTACTTTTATTTTAATATAAATGTGTTATAATTTTTTTTTTTTATATATAAAAAAATTGTGATTTCTCTAATAGCCTTCAGTGTTGCTATTATTTAACTCTTTTCTTTTTCCAATGTGAATTATATTTTAGATCCCTTTCATTGACATGATTTTGTTTGATTTGAAAGAAATAAATGATAAAAAGTAAGTTGAAGTTTATTTATTTATTTTTGGGTATGAATTTGATTAGGATGAAATTTGAAAGAATTAAAAATTCTAATTATAATGAACTATTTTTATAACAAATTTAAATTGTATTTTGTTTTTATGTATTTTTTTTATTTATTTATAAGAAACCAGAAGCTTAGTTGTCATATTAACATGAATTGTACAAGAACATTAATTTTCTTGCAACTTCTATTATTTTCATGTTAAATACAATTAGAAAGTATAATATTTGTAAACTTTTTATAATTTTTTTTTTACTAAAGATCAAAAATACAAAAAAATATGTGTATTTATTAATTTTTTAAAATATTTTTTTTTTTACAAATGTTTTATTTTTTAAGTACATCTAGGTTAGATGCATTTAAAAAAAAAATGTTTAAAATATTAAAAAAATTCACTAAAAATAAAAAAATTTAATTTTCAAAAAATTAAAACCAAATAAGATGATTATTTTTCCATTTCCCTCACTTTTCCCTTATTTTCATTTGGGAAATTATTCAATACTTCCGGAGCATCACGTGGCCATACTCCAAACCAATCACCAATTACTTTGCCCCATGTTGTTCCCCCATCCCCAACATAAATTGTGGGCCCTTACGTCTTTCTACCAATCAAAATCTTATGGAACATCACGTGTCCATACTTCGGAAGTACTGAATAATCACCCTTTTCATTTCAACTAAACTTAGGCATGATTTATCTTCAGATTGTGCTTGCTAGGAGGTTTGAGTATCATATATATGAAATAAAAAAATTATACATAGTAACGTTTGAGTAAAAATAAAAACATGTTTAATAATGTTTCAAAGAAAATATGAACTGTTTTTAAAATTTATAGAATTAAAGTAAACAAAAAAATCATTTTTTTTTTGGAAAAGTGAAAACATAAAATAAGGAAAACATGGTAAGTACACTATACAAGGGTATACCTTAGACAATGGTTTCGTTTGGCAAGTTAATTATTTTTGTTAGCTATTTAAGTTTTTAGTTATTTTAGTAGGTTAAAATTTTTGTATTTGAGAAGATGGTTGAATTTTTTTATAATTAAAAATGATATTTGTGAGAGAAAAATAAAATAATTGTGAATTTAATGTGATGTTTTGCATCTTTTTGTGAATTAAAAATTAAAAAAAAAGAGTCCAAATTAGACTTCCCCATCGTGAAGAAAGGAAAAAAAAAAAAGAGTCCAAATTAGACTTCCAAACGCCGCCAATATGCTCAGGATGGAGACCATAAACAACCCCCCCCCCCTCGGGCGCGCACGCGCACACAGACCTTAAAAATAAGGGGTCAAAGTGAGATTCACTGTAAAATGTATGGTATTTTATATACTTAGCTTTGGACTTGAAATAACTTTGCCAAATGTCTCAAGCTGTAATTTGGGAGAAGACCAGATCAATTAACTGATCGCCGTTCTTTGTTTTGAAACATGTACACATTCTTTTATAGATAGTATAAAATAGGCAAATTATCTTAAATCCCGCTCAAATTATCAGGTATTTGTACTTTATTCCTTTAATATTTTAAACTTAACAATTACTCTTTTCAAACTATTTAAATTTGAACATTAAATCTTTCTGTTAGTCATTTATTTGATATTTAGATGAAAAATTATCAAATGTTGTGCACATAATGATTATATTAGTTTTATGACCAAATTATTTTATTTTATCTTTTGTAAAAATTTAATGTAATCATTATGTGCACAACACTTGACAATTTTTTATCCAAATATCTAACAAATGATTAATAAAATGATTTAATATTCAAATTCAAATAGTTTGAGGGGTGTAATTGTTAAGTTTAAAACATTAAGGGGGTAAAGTGTAAATATGATAATTTGAGGGGGTTTAATATAATTTGCCCATATAAAATTACTCTTTATTGGTTAATTTGTTTCAAATGCAATGAGTTGTAAATGTATTCATGTACTAAAAAATGAAATGAGGGTTAATTAAAAGAGTGATCAACATGGAGTATACAACAAATTTCAAATCCTATATTATCACTTATTTCACCAGTAAGAGAATATATTTTTTTTTCATGGAATAGATGGATCATCATATGCTCTTTTTCAGATTCAACTCATTCAATCACAATATGATTTCCAAACTTTCACAATTTTCAAACCTATATTTTCCTATGATTACTTGTTCATTAGTTATTGTTTGGATGCTAGAGCTTCAGGTGCATTACCTATTATGTTCATCAGTCAAAGTGAGTACTCTCTTCATGCAAAAATGCTATGAAGCTACCTTTATTAACTCATAATTTATCTTAAATGTGTTTATGTGGTGGAAATTAAATTGATGTAGTGTGCGACTTATGAGTAAAATGAATTTAAATCATTGATTATTTTTTCTGAATAAATTTTGGAATCATAAGACTGGGTTTGTTGTGTTGTTGCACTTCATAAAAGGCTCTCTACACTTGCTTTTCTGTCAAAAGAACCTGCATCACTTTTATTTTTTTTTATTTTTTATTTTATTCCTTTTCTCAAGATAGCCGTTAGTATATTAGCAATTAGATTATAATAAAGGACAAAGTCTCTCCAAATTCAAACTTAAAATCTCACTCACCTTAGCACTTGCCCAACTTTTATGGTACTTGGAAACAAAATAATCCACTGTGAAATGGCATATGAAAGGAATCATATAGTACATGTATATTGGAATTAAAATTTTTTGTTTCAATTTTTAATATTTATGATTCTGTTTACAAATTATAAAAATAATCGATCATCACTTGGAGTTAGATGAATACTTCAAACGCTAAACCCAATTCAACATTTTTAAAAATATTTATACCGAGGTAAATTTGAATCCAAAGTCACTCTCAATTAGACAAGCTCTTTAGAGACTTGGAGAGGGAGAGACAATCGATTAGAGTATTAGGTTACGTTTGTTTGGCGGATTAGGTAGGATGTGATTATTAGTGAGGGGATTAAGTAAAACTGTGTTTTTATGATAGTATGAGAGATGATTAGTAATGAGTTTGTTAAATTATTTTATATTAAAAAATTAAAACAAATAGGTACACTTGTTTAAAAAAATAAAATTAAAAAATTAAATTTTTTATATAAAATAGACTCAAAATCCTCACTATTTTTCTAATCCCATCCAACACTCAGCCAAACTAATCCCCCTACTGAGTATGATTACTAAGCCTCTTGAACTATCAATATGCCCTCCCATTCCACTACAAAACATGCTATGGGTGAGATCCACAATCTTAGTAGTCCAATTTGACCACTCAAAGCGCGAAACAAACATGGCCGTAGTCCCTTTGAGAACTCTCTTATTTATAGAACTAATATTGTCATTGTAAATTAGTTGAATACTAGGTTTCCTATATATAAAACTAATATTAGGATTATAAATTAGTCAAATTAACTCGAATAGTAGGTTGTTTGACTTGACACCCCTTTTATCTCTTTTAAAATACCCAAGTAACAATTCTATTGTTGATGACATGGGTAAGCCCATTAAGGATATGACCCACCACTTGAGGCCCAACCCACGACTCCAATACTAAAGCTCAACATTCTGGGAATCTAACGCTACACCAAGTGCCAATGACATCTAAACACTTGGTAACTGAAGAACCAGCCACATCAGCAGACAAAGATCCTGCAAAGTTATTGCACCACACATCAGTCATTAATGAGTCCCCCTGCAGCATTTATTACGATAACCCTTCACGTCGGAACAGGACAGCCTCACTATGAAAAAGGTAAGCTA